AAAAAAAAAAAAAAAAAAAAAATGTGGACGCCAGCCCAGACTCGATGATGGGATCCAAGAGCTCTTCTTCTGAATGAGTACTTAGAGCTTGCCATTGGAGAAATTCAGCTGTACCACTATCCACATGCTGCTCATCAGACTACAGAATGCTCTCCTTGGACTCTGAATACCCCTTGCCAAACCAGCAGTGATCTGGGAGTGGTCAGAAAGTTTCCATGTCTTGTTCATTCCCCTGCTCATCAAGGTACGTTTTGATGCCAACAACCACCTTGTCAGGCAGGTTGTAATATTACTGTGTCACACAACAAGTGAAGGAAGTCTCGAAGAGGTGGGGTGACTTTCCCCACCGCCTGGGACTAACAACCTCAGAAGCTCCGTGCAAACCTGCCTACCTGGCTGCCTGCTCAGAGGCACTTACTATCTTGGTCTCATGGACTCTGGACAAATTAGAATACCTCTGCTAAATTAAATGCCTCCAGGGCTAGGGACTACATTACAATCAGACAAAGCTGGAGAGGTGGGTCTACAGTGAGAGCTCTTGAGTACACATCCAAGGGTTTTAAGGTTTGCCATGTTCTGGCTTGGCAGGACATCTAGTCTTCTTTGCCCATTTTATGTTTATGAGTATTAACTAAAGATAAATAATGTGTAAAATTACAAGACCTCCATATATCTTTCTGGGAATGTCACTCAACTACTTAAAACACTGTATCTCCCCATTACTTTCAGATAAACCTAGATTCTTTTAATGTTTTCAAGTCCCTGGTGGTCTCACCATTGTACCTCCATTGACTTCAGCCCAACCTTACACCCACACCCCGACCACTTTCTGGTTTCCTAAGTACACTTTGTCTGGCTTCCACCTCTCTGCCGAGGTTGCTGCCCCTTTCTCCTTCCTCTTCCTCCCCCATCTCACCCACCTGGCCTCAGTCACAGCCGCTCTCACTGGTCCTTCCCGACTCAGTCCAGAAACCCCACTCCTGGGAAGAGCTTGCTGAGCCACCCAGAGGGGATGGATGTGCAGAGGAAAGGCCCTCCCTCCCGTGGCCACAGCACCACTGCTTACTTTCATCACTTGACAACAGCCCCACCTCCCTGTGTCCCTGCCGTGCATAATGATTACATCCCTCATGGTGACTTGTTACATGCACATAACACATCTTGATTCTTTTTAAGTCCCCTTACACCCCTACTTCCATCCCTTGGCCCCCTTCCCTTTTATAAAATATCCCATATCCATATCTATTTCCTATTTTCTTATTTTATTTTGTTCTTTATTTACATTTATATTTGTATATACATCTTATATAAGATAAACTATGCAATATTTAAGCTTATATGTCTGATTTATTTTACTAATATTATGATCTCAAAGTGCATCCATTTTCCTACAAGTGACTTATTTGTCCTTTTTATGGCAGAATAGTACCCATTGTGTATAAATATAATGCTTTCTTCATCCACTTATCTGTTGATGGCCACATAGACTGATTCTAAAACTTAGCTATTATAAATTGTGCTACTATAAAATGGGTTTCCATTTACCACTACAGCATGATGTCTTTACTCTTTTAAGAAGACACTTAGAAGAGGAATAGATGGATTGAATGGAATTTCTAGTTTTAGTTTTTTGAGAAATCTCCGTTCTGATTCCATAATGATTCCACTAGTTTACATTCCCACTAATAAGGTAGAAGTATTCCTTTTTCCCTACAGCTTCTCCTGGATTTAGTATTTGATTTCTGGATGATAGCCATTCTTTCTGGAGTAAAATGGAATCTCCAAGTTGTTTTAACTTGCATTTCTCTAGTAAACAGAAATGTTGAACACTTTTCATGTATTTACTAGTCATTTGAATGTTTTCTGAGAAGTATCTCTGCGTTTCAGTGGTCCATTTTTTGATTAGGTCTTTTATTTTCAGGGGGTTAATTTTTTAGTTTTATGTGTGTGTGTGTGTGTGTATTATAGATATTTTTCCACTGTCTCTGTTGGAGGAATAGCTGGCAAAAACTTTTTCCCATTTTGTGCTTCTTTCTACTCTGAATCTCCAGGAATGGGAACATAGTAGGTGTCCTAAAAAAACGGATCAATGAATGATAAAGTGAGTCATCAAAATGTCAGTTCGTAACCCAGAATGACTCTGTCTTATCAGTTAGATGGTAAACAGGACTGTACCACAAGAATATCCCAGCTATAGAACATGTTTCTCTGTGAGGTGAACATTAATAGTTCACCCTCCTAAGGACCCTAGTTTTGAACAACATCAAAAGACCTCCCTAGGAAACTCAAATTTTGATCCAAGCCAACCAGAAGTTATGAATGTGGGGGACTCACAACCAAAGATTTTCAAGCACTGTAGAAGTAAAATTTGCAATTAAGGTGTATATTGGTCATCCGATTTAATTCATTCGATAATTACTGAGTATCTACTATTTCTTAGACTTTGAATTTAGATCAGTGAAAACTAATAGATAAAAGCCAACATCCTATGGGACTTACTTTTAAATTTTGGAGAGGAAATAATAGAAAAGATAAATTATGTGCTATGCTAGGTGGTGATATGGCTATGGAGAAAAAGGGTGAGAAGAAAGGTTACTAATTTGAGTGGCCAGAAAAGGAAAACTGAAGCAGTAATGTTTCGATCACAATCTGAAGGAGAGGGTGGAGCTATGCGGCAAAGAAAGGAAGAACTCCCACAAGCCAGAAACAGCATGTGTAAAGGGTCTAAAGCACACTTGTTCAACATCCAAAAGAAGTGTAACTAAAGAGCGGTGAAGGGAAGGAGACCGGTAGATTTCAGGAGACCCGGTAGGATCTGAAGCAAATGAAGGGACTTTGAAAGAAACTTCAACCAGGTGGTAAGAGTGTTAGATTTGGAGTCTGGGCTTAAGGAATCTATCTAGACCCTGAGGAAGTGTCCACACAGAGGATTTCAGCCAAGGAAAGTAGTTCACTGGAGAAAATATTGGTCAACCTCAGAACTTCGGAAAGAGAAGCAGAGGTAGCATTTGGGTTAGAAGAGCAGACTCTAGAATCACAGTGCTGTATTTAAGGATTTGTACCACATTCAATACCTGTGTCCCAGGACAAACACTTAATCTCTGCCTCCCATAGAATGATGTATTTAGCTCAGTGCTCAGCATATACACTAAATGATGCACATTATCCTAAAATATGTATGATTAGGCTACTGAACCATCCATCAGAGATGAGTAATCATGTCAAACATGACCTGCCAGAGAGGAGACTAATAGTCACCTCTCATAGGACTTGGTTGGAGATTGGATGAACCTGAGGCTCTGGGAAGACCATCAGTGGATGACCTGGAAGGACTGGGGAAAGCAGATCCAAGGGATGGATCTGAGCTAATGCCACTCTATCACAGCAGATCTGACAGCCTTAAGATGGCTGACCTTGAATTTAATGACCTCAGTTGTAGGGAGTTCCCAGTTTCAGCACCAGAAGAACCAAGCCCAAGCCTCAGCTGATCAACATAAATGACCTCTACCATTGTTTTAAACTCTAAGGTATTTAAAAAGCCCTGGAATGCTAAATCAATATTCCTACACCCTCACTTCCAGATTTGGAAGTTGTGGGGTAGATCCAAGGCAATCTTCATCTTTAACTAGGGCCCAGGGATTCTGGGAAAGGTGGTCCATAGAACACAAGGAAGAAATGTGCTCGTATGGGAGACGGTACAGCATTCCTCAGGCCATAAAGACTTTCCCAGTAACCACCAGGAGATATTTCCCTTACGCATTCTATAGCTAACTAATGGGTCAAAGAGATTAGAAAAAGACGGAAACACTCAAAGAGCAAGCCCTGTTTAAGGGCAGATTGAGGTTAGATTAAAAGTTAGGCAGCAGCAACAGCCTAGAAGAATACTGTCTACAATCAAGGTGAACAATACAACTTTTAGGGCTACTGAGTACCCAAGTGAAGAGAAGACAGGACTAAAAAGTTTCTTTACAGATAGCAGGACCATAGCAGAAATCTGACCCAGGTCTGTCCTTTGCAATGGACTACTTGATGACTTTAACAATAATAACAATAATAATATTTATGATGATGATGCAATATAGATATACATAACCAAAAGTTAGCAAGGGCGAAACTGACAACATATTAACTAAATTCATTATTATGAAAGGGCACAGAAGAAACCAACTTCAGAATCACCTGAGGGCTTTTTAAACAACTGCTGGGCTCCATCCCCAGTGTTTGGGATTCTGAAGGTCTAGTTTGGAGTCCAACAATTTGCATTTCTAACAAGTTCCAGGTGATACTGATGCCACTGGTCTGAGAAACACACCTTGCTAATAACTGGTTAACTCTTTAAAGTCTATTACTTTGAAGGCATAAACGTCTCCCTATAAGTACCATCTCAGCTTGCTCACCTTGCTTCGATGTTAACCAATAAAAATCTAAAACAAGCATAAATGATATGTGCCAGCCTTGTGCGTAAGTACAAGGCTAGGCAGGCTTCAGGTGTAATTAGTCTAGGTGCTCCAGCCCTGCCTACCTGCAGTGCCCTTCACTCTTCTTCTTCTGTGTGGTGGCCTCCACATCCCGATGGAGGCAAGGTAGCTGTGGTGATCCTGTTTGGCAGAGCTCTTCCTGAATCTCTGTCATGACCAAAGAAATTGGGTCCAGCATTCCCAGAAGACAACTCCTCATATTTCCCTGGCCTGAACAAGATCACATGCGCATCCTGTACCAAAGACAGGGGAGGTTGGTATTATTTTTAGTGCAGACACTTCCACCCATTTAATTGCATTTCTGCAGAGGCACATGATGTAATTAAGAGACGGACTGGTGTTTGAAAAAAGCTAAATTCCCCTAGAAAGCATGCAAGTGTGATGGATAAGCCAGCAGCAACCTTGAGCGTGGAGTCTACACACACAGCGAGTGACAACTCCAGTGCCTCAGCATTGCTGTGCAGGAGGCACAGGGACCTGCTGGGGACTGCACAGCCATCTGAGCAGCAGCATAGGTCAGGCACTCACTAGTAGGACCTCAGTCCTGCCTGAAGGTCTCAGACTGAAGGCAGGATTTTAAGAAAATTACTTCAGATTTAAGGAGGTGGTCGGTGGCTGTCAGCCCGAGCACTTTCTCAGATAGGAGGAGATGGGAGGCCAGGGAAGCCGTCAGGACTGAGGGTCCCCATGGGGTCTCAGGAAAAAAGAAGCAGCTCAACCACTTGGATTTGAGGCACTTAGTGATGGCAAACTGGGAAGAGTAGCAAGAGTATTTAAACATAAAAACGTGCCTGAAAAGCCCTAGATCCTCGCAGCTAAATTAGAGGCTGGGCACAGAGACTAGGCAGGGCCTAGAACATAAGGCAAGAATAAAAGGGTAGAAAGGCCCACTGGGAAGCCACAAAGCGCAATGATGAAGAATAGGAATCTGGGCCCAAGTGGCCTGGTTATAATCCCATGGCTACTGATTACTATCTGTGCGATTGCCTGGCCTCTTCTTCTCCTTATCTGACAAAACGGTGTGGCAAGGGTAGCCACCTCAAAGGGCAGACAAGGGCTAAATGACTTGGATAAATCTGGAGCTGTGCTGCAGAACCAGGAATGTGTTTCTTAGCCTGAGAAGCTATTACGTCCAATCTGTTCCCACAGCTTTGTGATTGTAAACATAAACCTTTAAAAGCATTCGCCCTTCAAACCATATGACAAATAACTCCAAGGAAATCGTTTTTATATGTATTTAATGAATGGCTTTATCTGGTGGCTCTACATGCACGGGGTTGTATTAAGAGATTTAGAAAGCTAAATCAGAAAAGGATTTGACTTTCTGAGCTAATGGAGGAGGCAAACCCCGTACACAAACAATCCCAGTCAGATAGAGCAACAGCAGGGCTGTTCACAGCACGGAAAAGTTCCTACAACTGATAGGTCAAGAATGTCTTCAGATGGTATCAACATCTTGGGACTTAATAGGGGCAAGAGAAGATCTTGGACGTTGCCGTGATCATGGAATCACATGCTGCTAATTCACACCTGAAGCAAAACCCTTCTTAATCTCGTGTGTGTCAATTCTTCCAGATATCATCTCGTCAGTTTCGTGCACCTTTGTTTGCAGGTACACAAAACAAAAACGCTTCCTAATAAACAAGATTGTTTGCTTTTAACTTCTTTGTAGAGTAAGCTCAGAAAACATTACTAAAATACTCCTGTGTGTTTTGACATGTGCTGTAACGTTAGATGTTCAATACATATCCCCCTTGAGGGATTAATTACATTTCCAATTATACATGTCTGTTAAAGCATAGATTAGGTCTACCTTCCCCGTGTTTGTTATTGCTGCTTCTGAAACTTCTTTACAGCCCCAAAGAGGTCTTAATCCCTGTCAAATGTTATTATGTTACCAACTTTTATGTAGTCTTGAAAGGGGTTGTTTATTTAGTTTCAATGACTCCTTGTTACTGCCAAATATTATTTCATTTCAGCACAGATGTAAGGGGTCCAATGACTGGAATTATTTTACAGCCCTGACATTGTGGAGAGATGGATACCGGTTTAATTACGGACAGCTGAAAATGATCTAGGAGTCACCTGCTATGGATATTTATCATCATTATGAACTGCTCACCAAGCTGTGCTCAGATCACTTTCCTAAGTTCCATCTGCATTATATGACAGTGTGATCTGTACGGAACCTATATCTTCTGTCACCTTTAAATTTATGGATAGACAGTTTAATATTACTAGATTATTTTCTTTTCCTCTTAAAGTGAGAAAATATGTTTCAGTCATTCACGTTCTTTTTCCTTCCTCTTTTTTTTTTTTTTTTTTCGGTTTCTCTCCTTGCCTTTTCTCACTGCTGCCCTTCTCCCTCCAGCTGTTTTTCCAATTATGCCCCATTGGAAATTATTCATTACTCAAAGAATGTGAGTTGCATAGACTGGACACATAAAGGATCAAGCGATGCAATAACTAAAATATAGTTGGCACTTAATAAATGCATAAGAAATAAAGGCAGGAATAGAGCAGAAAGAACCAGAAAGGAAGTATGGAATTGCAGAGCCTGCTTCTTAAAATTCTTCCTTCTCCTCTGCGAGAGAAATTAAGAATAGCATAATTTCTAATTCTATCACCCTCTGCATTAGACACTAAGCTACAGTATAACAAGATATATTTTATATCCTCTCCTCTTTTTGCCTCCACCTATCTATAAAGAGATTTTGGGTTGTCCTTGTCAGGTTGAGGGAATGGAACAGCCAAGGTGTCAGCACCTGGTAATAAACTAAAGTCACTGTCGTACCATCCAACTGCGCTTCGTTCCCTTCCTCCACTGACCTGGGCTGCTGTGCCCTTAAAAACTCCAGTTCTGTCCTGGCTATCTAGATAACTAGGTTAGTAAGAACTAACTTAGTGATGCTTTGCCATGCACATAGCATTCACCGTGCTCAGTCTTTTTATGGGTTTTCTCATTTAGGTCTCTATACAGTCTTACAATATCAGCGTGATGTGTACTGTCTTTCTACAGATTTGCTGTTCTTGGTAGGGGAGAATTTTGCCACCCACAGAACATTTGGCAAGGTCTGGAGCTGCTTTTGGTTGTCACAGCAGGGTAACAAACCAAGAATACAGTAAGCATCATATAGTGCATAGGAGAACTTCCTACAACCAAGAATTACCTGGCTCAAATTGGCCTTGTTTTAGATTATTAAAAAAGAAAAGATGAAGATTAACAAGGGTAAATAATTTGTCAAAGATCATCCAGTGATACCTGGGAAGCATGGAATTGCATTCTTCAACCTGTACTTCTGCGCACAAGTAATTAATGGCTTCAGCAACTGACTCATCAACGAAGTGAAAAGGGAACCAAAATTCCCAAAGGGAATCTCTTTGTGTGAGATTTAAGTGGCTCTTTTCAGTTATTTACAGGTCATTCCTCTTCCATTCTCAACACATACGCAGAATGAGATCCATCAAAAGCAACGTTTCACTGTAAACACCAAAACCTCTATACACAGAGACACACACTGGAGCAGAAGTTCCTCTGACTTTTGAAAGTTATTAGCAGACATAAAGATATAAGATAAGAGCAGAATGCATAAGCAATTGTGTTACCTAAGCAATAAACTTAAAAAATAGGACATAGAGTTACAGTCGATGACAGCAAATAAATTATACATGTTGAATCCGATGAATGTTTAATGATGAACAAAAACATCTTGCATTTTAAAGACAGAAACGGTAAATAGTGAAAACGTATTCCTCTCTTTTCATTAATTCTTAATTAGGTACAAGTATCAGTTTTGACATAGCAAGACTCTGCCTCCAAATATAAAATTTTAAAAGGGCTAGGGTATAGTTCAGTGAGATTAAGGCCCTGAGCTCAGTCCCCCAGTGCCTACATCAGTTTCAACAGTATTTTAAGATATCGTTTGGGTATCTTTTGGATCTTATTTGGCTCCCAAATCAACTCTGGACACAGTTTGGACACACTTTTTTCACACACATGTGGAAATGCACACACACACACACACACACTCACACACAGGTAGACACATGTACCCACATATGATCACACACCACACGTCTCTACACATTGTACACATCCATGCCCAGACAGGTCCCATGTCTTATTCCTGAGAGTGGAGTTTCCTTTCCCTTTATCCTTTTCTTAGAGTACAGAGTTCCTTTCTCACCCTTGCTGGCCTCAGCCACCCACGAAACCTCTCTGGTGCTTTTTGCACTCCCTTGTTCCATCCAGAGCCTTTCCCCTTTGTGACCTAGTCCAGGCACCTCCAGGCAGTGGGTCCAAGGAGCTTCAAACATCATAAAGGCCAGAAAAGTACTGACCTGCACAGCCAGCCTTCGGCACCATAGTGTTTAGGTTAGAGAGAACAGCTACCTCCTGCCCTAAATTCTAAACTGCCATATCTGTTCCTATTGCTTGAAATGATTTCATGAGTCACAAGTCTGTCTCATTTTACAGTAAAGGATAAAAATCTCAAAATACAATAAACTCCCTGGTATCCATAAACAAAATGGGTTACCCATTTAAATCTTTTCTGCTTTGCTGGCAGGAGGAATTTAAAAAGCAAAGGCATCAGGTAGCTAAAAGGAGAGGACTGTAACAGAGGAAAAGGGGGCAACAGATAGAAGTCAGAAGCAAACTCTGATCCCCTTGTTGCCCTGTACCAGCCTGTTTATTTTCATGGGGGAGTAAGTCTCCTCAGAGACCAGAAGGAAGTCTCTCAGCCTGGAATCCCTAGATTTTCATTCCTCCTCACCTTCAACACTCTGTGAATCTGAGTATACCACTGTTATTTAATAAATGCGTGCAAGCATCTCCTACATTCATAAAATATGCTGAGGATGGCGCTGAATGGCTGACTTTCCTTTCAGTTCGGGGGAAAAAGAAAAGGGGCAAAGTCATAGAATGGTCATGTGATTTTTTTTTTTGGTACAGGGATCAAACTTGGGTCCTTGCACTTGCGAGGCAGGCAGCAGAATCACTAAGCTAAATCCCCAGTCCATGTGATCATAATTTTAAATGAGATGACTCTATTTACTATCATCTATATCCACCCTGACAATAGCCACTAACCTTTGTGACCGTTTGATCATCTATAAAATAAAACTGAAATGTTCATCTCCCCAGTTTCACCAGTACTGTCCAGCTACTCAACAGGCACCTGGGCCAGTGGCTACCACACCATACAGCACATAGCCAGAACATTCCCGTGCTCACCAAAACTCCATCAGCACCAATGCGCACAAGCATGTCGTTGGCGAATACTCAGCGTTTGTAAAGTGGGGAGGGAAGCAGATCTTTTCATACAACACTGTTGAGGGCAGAAATGCTACTTAAAAAAAAACAAAACATGCATTTAACAGCAAAAAGGAAATAGCCTAAATCTAAATATGCATCAACAGGGAAGTAGTTAAATAAACAACCAAACAACCATGTGACTCTACTGCCTATTTTAAAAATGAATATGTAAACAAAACATATCAGCGCAGAAAGCTGTCCTGATGTTCTTAGGAAAAAGACAAACCACAGATCACTTAATATGATAACACTGACATTTGTATAAAGCATAAAAAGGATACACATATCTGTTTATGCATGTACAGGGGATTATGAAAGGATAAAAGACTTTGTTAACACTGATTATCTCTGGGGAAGGGATAGTTAGGAAAATGCTTTCTTTTCACAGTACATCATTATTAGACTTTTTCTGTGATGGAGGACAGTAATATTCTTCCTTTGCTGAATTAATCAGATACTAATAAGATACCCAGAAATGTGACACCAAAAAAAAAAAAAAATCAGATCTCTGAATCAAAAGCTTGTTTGCTCGGCCTTGTATAAAATGGATCCAACCTAGGGTGTGGACCTGCTCCTGCTTGCTGAGGTCTTTATATATCCGAACAAATCCTAAGTCATTAGCCCCCCCAAAAGGAGTTAGATATGAAGTTATACATGGTAGATTATTGTAGTTAGGGCAATAAACCCACTGCTCAAGGAGGCTCTGGAATCAGTGGACTCTTTTAGGGGGAACGAGTGGCCTCTTGGAGCTCTCATGGGGAAAAGCTTCCCCAGACCATCTCTCTCCTATTGCCCCTCTGCCCTGTCTAACACAGCCTCACCCTGCCCTTTCCTCTACTTCCTTGCTCACAATGCCTATTGCAGGCAAGAGTAATGCAGATCCAAAATTATTGCACGTCCTCAGAGCTCACCCATGATTAACACGTAGGTTAAGCAATGATTCAAGCTGTTCTGTATGTTGTTTTATAAAGCATGCCAAGGAAATCAAGCAGAAAACCTCATGGTTTTCCATTCTATCCATCCACCATCCATCCATCCATCTGGTTTCCATGGGAATGTGTGAGGCATTTCCACACACTGGACAGGCAGATGTTTGTGCTAACAAACGAGCAGGTATTGTAGAAAGGCGGAATGGCTAGAAGGGAGAGAGAGGGCCTGGGAGGCAAGGAAAAAATTTAACCTATGTGTTCTAAATGGTAAATCTTTGAGCCAGGTCAGTGATAAAAAGGGAAATGAGTTTGTTTTTTTTCTCCTCAATGTGCTCAGAATCGCAAACTTCCAAAGATAAAAAGAGTAGCTACACCCCCAAAACAAATGTCTTCACACAACAAACATGGCTTTCTACCTCAGCTACAGTCTTTGAGACATCATTTTCTCCTATAGCCATCTTTCCCAGAAAAAAAAAAAAGCAAAAAGCAGTGTCGGTTGCAGTGCAGGACGCAGAGCCTCCCAGCCCGTTCCACCCCCAGAGACATGACATGAGGAAGTCCGGGGTTCTCGGGCCTTGCTTGACAGCAGTTGTCCCCATGCGGAGTAAGTTCCATTTGCCCGTCTGACTCAGGTTTGTGAATTTCTGGCTTATGCTAAGCACCTTGGTGTTTGGGGCCTAGTGAGTGAGTACTCAGGCTTTTATCCATTTAGGACTGTTTCTCCACCTAGATTGGGAAGCTTAGATTTTTCTCTAATTACTCCCCTTCCACTGCCACCTTGCTGCTACCATTTTGTATCATGTTGTTCATCCTCCCAAACTGACAGCTCTTGTCATCTTGCTGCTTATGCACACGCACAGAAACCCATGCACAGGCATATGCACCGGTGTGCACACACACTCAGGCCATGGGTGCTAGACCTTTACAGAAAACCAAAGATTTGCAGGAGAGGAGAAGCCTTTCAGAAATGTTCTGAGAAAGGTACATTTCCTTTTAGGATTGTGTCCTCTGCAAATTTTAATACCTCCAAAGATGCCTTTTACACATAGATCTCCTGAGAATTTGGCTTTCATCCAATACCAAATTTCTGGCTACTGACTGGGTGGAACTGTGACATACAGGATATTGAAGAAAGCACCTTTAATGGAAATTAATTTGTAAGCACCTTCCTAGTTCTGTTCTCCTGGGATGACCCTCATGATCAAGAACGTTTTCAGGCTCACGTTTTGAGTTTAGCACAGACTCTCATTTTCATTAATTATCCTGAAGAGGCACAGTATCGTCTGAAAGTGGCCTTTGTGGCGTCAAGCCCATTCAGAGCAGCAGTGGAGAGAACAAGTATTGTCCAGCCTCTACAGTTGCTAACGGTGACTTGTGCAGACTGTGCCTTCTCCAGGCAGGTCTGACCTGCATCCCCTCCATATGGGCCACTCCGCAGGCTCCCACAGGGCCGTCCCTGATGCTGCCTTTCTCTAACCTGGATTCTGTCTCTGTCTACATGTTGAGAGGACACTGGTGTCCACAGTACCCCCATCACATCTCCCAGATCAGGGCAGGACATCCCTGTTACTGTGACACTGTGCCAGATTTGTGTTTGAAACCTAGAACTCTGAAGGTAGCTTTAGACACCAGAAAGACCTTTTAGGGCCTGCAAAATACCTTTTTCAGGGGATGTTTTGCTGTGCTTTGAGTCCATTTTAACACAGTGAGGCAAGATTCATAGACTTTGAAAGACAAGAGGCTGGAAAGCAACTCTAGAGACATCCCATCCATCACCTTGACTCCAATAGGCAAGCCCTGGCCCCCAGGCACAGATGAGTATCCTGCCTTCACAGATCATCAGGAAAAGAGACTCCATGGCCATACTTGGGAAGCCCATTCCCATACTGACTTCCCTTCAACATTGTCATTGTCTTTGTGGTACTCCATGAGCTCAGACTGCTCTGAGCTTTAAAAATCCCAATTTGAATATATTTTGGAATAGATGTCATGAAGCAGCTTGATTGTTAGCATGCTGTTCCACTGGGCTTGAAAAATTCCATCTCAAACCAAACATTGATGTCTACTCTTGGGGTTGGACCCAGACGAACAGCGTTCATTTTACAGTGAGGGCCTGACCTGTGATCCCTGCAGGATCCCCTTCCACCTTGGATCTGCTCGCCATTAAATGGTGAGGTGCTGCAGGTGTACTGTGTGTTTTCTTGCTCCCAGAAATCATAGCCAGCATCACGTCCATTTTCCTAAATTGTGTTAGCAGGAGAAGAACTGCCATGAAAGCAAAGCACTGTGTTTCCTGCAGAGTAGTCCATTAGACACACATGCAGCTCTCTGGTGCTTGCTTTGTTCTTTCGGTTTTGAGAAAAGAGGACTTTAATGGAATCCTTGCCCTGCATTTCCCATTCTGCTGTGCAATGTGGGAAGCCCCGACGTGGTCGCTCAGAGGTCCAGTTACATTTTGGCACACACGATAATCCACAAGGCCATCTCAGTTAGAAATGAAATGTGCATATCTCTCTCTTTCAGCTGTTTCTTTTGGCAAAGGGAAAGTCAAGGAAACTGGGCTGGCCATGAAGCCCCAATCGAGAACTGGTATGAACCTCAGACAAGACACAGCTCGAGGGATACTAGGGCACGCGGTCATCGTCTGAGACCAAGGGCCTGAAATTGACACCATATGCATGGCAAGAAGTGATTGCTACACGAGGCAGGGGGAGAAGCAACATGTCAGAACATTTGAGCAACACCTAATTCATCTCAGGGTTATAAATAAAGATAATGCTAGCTTAAAAACAAAACTTAAAAAAAAAATACTTTAGATCACTTCTGTGACTCCTGCAGGCAGATGTCGACTTTATTAAAGAGACAACGTGAAATAAAGAGAAACGCATAACAACTTTTATGGTATATTTTACATGATGTTTTTCTTTTTGCAGTAAATAAAGTGCTTATAGGACTCCAAGGAAAAGGGCCCAGATGTTAGTTGTGTGAAATTTAGGGGAAACAAGCTGTAAAAAACACAGTCATAAAACAGGCTGTCAGTGCCACACATCTGGATAATACAGCTGTATGTTCCTAGTGGCTGTCGTCACCCAAAGAAAACTCAATAACCTCATTTCACCCCAATTAGGCTGCATACCAAAAGGATCAACATTAAGTTGTAAGAGGGGTAGCATTCATATGGTGCCTCGGTGTCAATCCACTTTTATCTTTCATTTAAATCTGATCATCAAGAAATAAAAGCCTGCTAACATACTCATTTCCACTATTATAAAGCCCTTTTTAATTTTTAATGTCCTAATAAGTCAAAGTTTGACAGTTTGGGCTACTGGCTACACCAAACAACAAAAGACTTTTTGTAGCATGAGAGTGACCTTTGCTGCTCATCCCCAAATAGAACCCTGCCTCTTTCTCTTCCTCTTTTCTGGGAGCCTGAGTCTAACACCATTGTTGGGAACTCCTGTCTGCCTTATTGGAAAAAGAAGTTGATGTTCAGACAATTTAAGTTTATTTGATGACACTGGGACATTTTTCCTTTTTTAGGGGGGTGGTTAGCAATGAAGCACTTTTGCTATTAGACAAATATTACAAAACATAATAACACACTCTTTCATCTTTTCATCACTGACAGGCTGTGGCAAAGGTTCTAAAATGTCACCCTCTCTAATAATTCTATTTCTTCACAGGTGTTAATTGCAGCAAAAGCAATTGTGGACAATGGAGAGAAATTGACCTTACCATTGATAGGGAAACTCCTAAAATTTCAACTTCTCCAGATTAAATTAAAGGACCAGCAACGACGGGAAAATGAAAAGAAGGTACAGCCTAACATGTGGGTTGTCCAAAGAGGGCAAGCAGTGAATGAAACAGATCCAGTTTCCCCGAGAGCACTTCCTCTCTTCTCTTCTTAAACCACTATTAAGTGTTACCTGGCAGATATTCCTGTCACCTCAGATCTTACTAACAAATCTCTCCGAAGATCTGCTGGAGGGATTCTGATAAATCTATTAAAAATAAGTCTCCTTCATATGAAAAGGACAATATTCAAGGCATGCACTCCAGGTGGTTTTTATTGTGGTATATTTATATTTTTAGCAAGAAAATGACCCAGGAAAGAAACAGGGAGTCAGGAGAAGTAAATATAAAAAGCAGGGGAAAAACTCCTCAAGTCAGGCTCTATTTAAATTATTCTATTTGATATTCAGGAGGAGTGGCTAATAAGATAGCAGGCACATCTGCACCTTCCTAATAAAGTAACTTTTATCAGCAATCCATCACTCCTACTTTCATATAATATATCTGATTATTGCTTCACATGTGGATTTCTCATTTAATTTGCGTATAAAATCAATTGGGGTCTTTTCAAAGTATCAACATTTGCATCTGAATAATGCTTTGAAAATACTTTAGTCAAAGTGATGCAAAGTTCAACTCATTTGTTACGATCAATCAATACTCACAATGAGAAATTCTTTTCTTATTTTCCAAATCATGCTGAAATATTTTTGGAAAGCCAAATGCTTCTCTGTGTGTGTGTGTGTGTGTGTGTGTGTTTGTATGCACATGTTACGTATGAAACATATGAATTTGCACGAGTTGTTTATAATCTTAAAAGAGGCAAAATTAATCAGTAATAAAAGAAAAAGTAAATATATACCAATAATACCTTATTCAAGACCCCCAAATCTAGTTTCCTATTTGAGTTGTGTTCTTGACAGAATAATTGTGGAATAATAATAATAATGGTGATGATAATAATATCACACTGTGCTTACAGAATAGGGCTTTATGTTTTCCAAAGAGATTCTCTATATTTCATCTTATTGAAGGTGGTACATACTGTCCTCAAAAAATTTCCACTCGTGAATGTGCTTGATGGTATCGGTTTTCACCTATTGAAGTTTTTTCCATCATGTACAGGGGACTGACTGTACCTTAAGAAATATTCATGGAAATTAAAACTTGGCAGAAGAAAAGTTGGAAAATCTGAAGCCAGTGTAGTAACATCTCTTCTTGCCTTTTGAAATTCCAGCGTCATATGGAAATATGAATTATGAAAAGTAGACTGAGTCTTGTGAAAATTCCTGCATCTTCTGTTTTGTACTTTTCCATAGGACCTATAGATAGCCTGCTAAAGAGTATCAATTTACTTGTTTACCACCTATTTTTAAAAGCAGTTATTTCTTCTTAAAGGGACCCTGAAGATTTCAATTAACAAACCTTAAGTAAAAAGAAATACACTCTCCCAATAGCTTAGGAAATTTTTTAAAGCATGCAAGAATATAAAAATATTCTTGCATTATTATTTTGCTCACCAGTTCCTTGAATCGTGAGCTACAATAATATTGCTGTGAGATACTGATTATATGGAAATAATTTTAATTTACTTGTCAAACATTGAAAGAGTCTTAAGGAACTGGGGCTTGAACTGCAGATTTTATAGAAAAAAATTATTTGACACAGTAAGAGAAGTCTTTGAGCAATTAAGAGCCAAAATTTTCATGATCTAATTTAATGTCTGTTTTGGGGGGTCCCAAAGCACCAGTCTCAAATCCCTGAGTCAAAAAACATATGAGTAGGTGCTAAATAAATGGGTGAAAACTGATTGGAATGGAATACTTTCCAGAAAGCACTTCTGGTAAAGGCAAGATGAAAGGAGTTGTATGTGGGATGATGTAATCTATGTTTATTTCAACAACACTGCCCAAGAGATCAGTTGGAACAATTGAGGTTAATGCTTGTCAGCTAGGAGTACAGCAGAAAGTAAAATAAATAGACAGTATGTAAAACTGATGCCATGCTGTGCACTAGAAAATGAATTAAAAAAAAGAAAAAGAGGACTTTATCCAAATTCTTCCTCTTTCCTGAACCTAGGATGAAATTCTGCGATTCCTACAAGGAGAGGGGCTAAATCTTCAGCTTTTTAACCACAACATGAAATTCATATAGATGTTTTCTTTCAAATGCTAATTATAGTACATTGCTTACATCTGTACAACCCGAAGAATGTTTTGTATCTTCTTTTAACTTTTGGAACTGAATTTTTAACAAATTAATAGCTTAAAAAATATCCATAACAATAATTATAGGAAATATTAGGGTAAAAGGTAGAGCAAAAATAAATAGTAAGCTTATATTTGTATATTTGTATAAATAGAATGTATCACAATATATTTAATCCAATTTTAATGAAAACTTTTCTTAAAAATAAATGGTAAATAATATTCAGCTGCCAAATACAGAAAGGATATCTCAGACTCTAAAGTTTAATAACTCACAACACTTTAACATTGATTTTGCTTTGTGCTTTGCAAGAAAGTTTGCTGGCTAATTAATAGAATAAACATAATTATTAAAAATTAATGTTATCAATATTATAAAGATGTTTTGCTAATAATTTTAAAGCCTTTTCTCATGTAAATTTCTGGAGCACAAATGCTGGAATAAATAGAAAATAAACAGAATCTATTTTAAGATATTTATCTATTTAATTACTTCCACATAGAGCACACAAAAAAATGTACTTTGTTTCTCTAAATATATTTGAGCACATCAGAATACAATTTCTGCATAGTAATCCCAAATTAAATTTTTGTCACATCTTAAAATGTAGATAAAAGTGTTTTATTTACAAGTGAATTTTTCCTAAACAATTATCTCAACATTTATTTTACATTTTTAGTTCTACATTGTCAGTCTGTCATTCATTCAACAAACATTATTAAACCACATATTTATAGAAACAATATACCAGTCACATGCATATAATGTTCTTTATTATTTTAAAATAAATTAATTGGTTTCTGTTCTGGACTATGTTTTAATTTAATCAATATCTGAATTTTTATTTCACTCATATTTTGTTTCCTTTTAACTCTAATTTCTATGTTATAGATTAATTATGAACATTTAAAACCAAAACAATTATGAGTCAGAATTTCTATTTAATTTCTATTGAAAATTCAACTAAAATAAAGCATTTAATTATAAAATAGATGAAAATGACTGTGATACAAAAAGTTATTAGCCATTGAAATGATTAGATTAAATTGTCTTATTTTCCTCTGAGTTCAGAATTTTTTTTGTTTACGAAAACAGATGCAAATCCAAATATATTCTTTTTTTTAATCCAAACATATTTAACTGTGCTTTTCATTTATGAATTCAAATAAATATTCCATTCTTTCTTGGACATTTTTTGTAAAAATGAGTTGTTTCTCTTTGTAGCTCATGTAAGCTGCCTTATTTTCTTGTGTACTAGAGTTGAAGAGAAGGAAATGTAAAAAGCATTGAACAGATAATGTTAAAATTTTCTTAAAACGATTCAAAATTAAACTGCCTGATTTTGATAAAGACAACGTTACAAAGCCACAAACAACCTTGAGCCTCCTCCAAAAGAGGAACCAAGAGAAATTGGAGGGGCTTTCGCGGACCTGTTCCAGGTTCCTCCAGTCAAAATCCCGGAACACTGGAAATCAGCCAATGCAGTGCCATTCTGTGTGTGTGTTTTGTTTTAAAAGAAAAGCCACAGGGACATACCAGGAAATTACAGGCTGGTTAGTTTTGATTCAGTTGTGGTTAAAATCTTCAGAAACTATTTTAAGAAATCAAACGGAGGAAGAGCAGAAACTCAGCTTTTAGAGGAGCTCGTGTAGTTTCAGGAAACAAATAACTCGCCTCACTAACTGAATGGAATTCTACGAGGCTGTATTATCGAAATGAGGGCACTATCAACATGAATGTTGGAGCGAAGGAACTTTAGAGCCCACAACTCGGGAGAAATTACAAATGACTCACTGGCTGGCTTTTCTCTAAAACAGAGTAGTGCTTTCCTAATTGGTTTGATTTTTATTAATGAAAACTTTGTATGGACCTCTAGGAAGCTTTAAAGGAACACATATATTTAAAATAGGATAATATTTTTAAGTGTCTATGGTAACAGCAGCTAATAATAGTTACCTACCATTTTGACTATTTGGTACGGCATTGAGCCCTTGATATGTACTATGGTTTCATGTTTGAAATGACTTTATGAGTTTCAGAGATTTATTCCCAAATTTCAGTTAGTACATCTGAGGATGTGAAACTGCAAGTAATTTCCCAAGGCCAAATAGCTGTTTTCAGCAATGGAGCTGAGATTAAATTACAGAACTGTCCAAGTTCCTCTTCCAAGTGTCTCTCAATAAAGATGAAGTGATACTCGGGGCTCACAAGCAGTAGGCTGCTGCCCGGAGATGTTTCTCACAGTACCAGTGACTTGGCCCAGTGTGGTCCTACTGATGACATTGCTGACAACATCGGAAGGTTAGATGTGAGCAAGGGAGCAGAGAAAGGAAGGAAACTCACCAAAGATGCAGGCCACCAAGCAGATAACCACTGATTCCCGAAGCAATTCTTCCTTCCTTCCTAGTTCTTCCCTGCCTGTCCAGAAATGACCCAGTCTTGTAGAGGATATTTCACGAGACTTCTTGAGATTATTTCAGAAACGCTCATGCCTTCTCTCTGCTCCTTTGGCCGGTGAGGTAGAATGCCACTGGCTTATCTGGTGTCTCAGAGCCACGTGGGATGCTACAGGACGCAGACCGCAGACCCAGCCTGCACTACCACCATGACACACAGAGACGGCTGTGTACTGATTCTCTGAATTAGTAACTGCACCCTGAGATGGCAGCGTGGCACCTCAGGAAATCCCTCAGGGTCCTAATGACTGTATTCCTGGGCAAGTGAAACCAATGCTACACTTCTCAGTCTGTATTTTCTACACCACAGCGGCTTACTAAAAAAACAAGTTCTTCATTTGACTTCATGCGTTACGTTT